TCTTTAAGATTAATTCTAGTATATAGGATGTAAGTTTATTTATCTATAATTTCTTATATGTATAATACTCCAGTTACTTATAAAATCTAGATATTAATATTCTCATGTGATTCTTTTTTGTAGGTTGAAATCTTAAGAGAAATTCTTGATGCAAGAGAATTATAATTTGATTGATCATAACTATCAGTACCATAATTATTACTAAGAGTAATAGTAAGTTATTGTTATTATTAGATGAGATTAGTAAGACTAGCAAGAAGTTGTTAGAATTATTCACTTGAGAGATCAGGATTAGAGATTATGAATATATGTATATATATGTATGAGTATATATAAAGTATAAGTAAGAAAGTATATAGGAAGAAAGAAATTATTAATAGATATGTGTATATGTATTTATATATATAGTATTAATCTTTTCCACTACTACCAAAGTTATAATCTTTCCAGTTATATTATATAATATATCAGGAAAATTTATACAAAAGATTTAAGATATATAGTGATATTATTTGAAATAGAATTCACACAGAAAACTAATTTAAAACAGATAAGATTATTATATTTAAACTTATTCTTTATTTAATGTTAATGATACTTAAAATTACAGAATAGATATAACATCTTTAAATAATAAATTAATAATAAATAATACTTATATAATAGTACCTTCAGAAGATACTTATTAATGAATAAATAAAGAAATAAATGATTATAAATAAAATATATAAATTTAGTAATATGTTAGCTAAATTAATAAAACAAGAGAAAAGAGAAATTCTATTAAGAAACTATCTATAGCTAAAATAACTTAAATAAATCAGGTAACTTTCTTGGTATGATCAGGTAATTGTGATGTAGTAATGATCTGCAAGATAAAAGATAAATATAATCTGATTATTAATAATTAATCTAATTTTATTATAGTATTTTTAAATAATAAATTATTATTATATAAAATTATTAATATATAAATATTTAAAAAATAATATCTTTAGAAAATACTTATAAAAATATAAATATAATTATAAATAAAAAATATTAAAAAAAATAATATATTAATTATATTAATAAAATAAAAATTAAAAAAAATTCTACTAAAAAGTTTATCTATAGCTAAAATAATCTATTATATTATATAATTTCTCTTAGTATAAATTAAATAATTATAATATAATAAGTTATATATAATATAATATATAATATAATAATAATTTATTAACTAAATATTATTAATTTTATTACTTTTTTTATTAATAATTTAAATAAAAAAATATTATTTTTAAAATAAAATTAATCCATCTTTTTTAAATATTAAAAAATAATATTTCAAATAATAAAAATATAATTTTTTTTCTTATTATAATTTTTATTTTAATTTAAAATTATTAAAAATAAAAAATTATTATTATATACTAAATAATTAATAAAGAAATTTAAATAATATAATTTAAAAATTTGATATTAATAAATTTCTATAAATATTAAAATTCATATATTATAATTAATATTTATAATATATTCTTTAATATATTATTCTAAATATTTTTTTAATACTTAATAATACTTTTTCAGATTTAATAAAGAATTATTAATATTAATTCTTTTGCAATCTCTTTATAAACTTTCTGTATAGAATAATAAAAAAAAATTTTAAATCATATAATTAATTTTAAAAGTAATAAAAATAAATATTTTTCAAAATTATTCTGAAAGTTTATTAATAATAACTAACTTTTTAATTAATTTAATCTGCTTTTGGATTTGATTACTAAGAAATTGCAGAGGTATAATAAATTAATTTTGATATTTAGAAATTTTATTAAATAATTAAATTTTTTATATATTAAAGCTCTATTAAGTTAATATTTTATTTATATTAAGTTCAATTAAATTGATTAAAATAAAATCTGATGCTAAGAAAAATGTTAACAAAGAAAAAACTTCTATACTATTAATATTCATGATTTCATTATTGAAAGCTGAATAATATGATAATGTTAAATTATGAAAAGTAGAAGAGACTATTATAAAATTAATAGTTTTCTTGAATTTTCTTTATTATTTATTGTTATTAATAGAGAGAATCAATAATCAAAATTTTCTATAAATATTAATTTACTAATCAGAAGAGTATGAGAAGATATATAAAAAGAAAAAAAAAGCATAAGAAGTATGAAAATAAGAAAACATATGAGAATGAGAAGAAGTATAAGAAACAGCAGATAGAATAGCAATAAAGTGATATAACACGAGAATTCTAGTTCCGATAAAGACAGGAGTGAATCTACGCTTAATGATTTAGTAATCAATCTTTTAAGGAGAGCCGCCAGCTTGGATGATCGGCCCTTCAGGCTTAAGTGAGTAGCCATGGGAAAGACCTTTTGTGTGACGCACTTTAAAATTTGCATTATACCAAAACGCAGGATCTTACCAGTCATTGGTGGTAAGTCTTTGTTTGCAAGACCCGAATTTGCGGTTGTTAAGGAAAAAATTATTATGTTGATTGTAGAGGTCTGTATGTTTTTGTGCTTTACAAGTCTAAACTATTTTCGCTCAGACAACCTTTTAAACAGGATAGACACCTGAAAGATAAAATCTCATCAGTTTGACTGATTTTGGAGAAGCACAAATCGCTGCCGAAATACTCGCCCGTGGAAGTGAGAATGAACGGAAAGTTTATAATGTACTGTAATTCCCGCATCATATTTGGGAGGAGCTTGATGCAAGTCTGCCACGAAAACGGTCAGTCGTAATCAAAAGATGGCCAAGGGAAATAACGTAAAAACTGGTATAAATTTTGCAGAACCAGAGGGAAGAAAGACTGTGCTAACAGCATTGACAAAAATTTGCCAGTATCTTTTGCAAAAAAATCAATTAAAATAGAATAATAGGAAAGAGATATAAAAGTCAAAAAAATTACTGGTAGGGCTATTGCTGGGCATTGTTATGCTTAGCAAATCAAGATCTTTTTAATATAATTTGGCGTGCTTAGATTTATTAAAAATAAAGAACTTTCTAGTTGTTATCTGCAATAATAAGAATTTTCCATATGATTTGATATTAATTCTACAGATTATAATTATAACGAAGAATCTCGAAAAATTTGGTTTATCTGATAAATTTATTATAATTGTTTCTGCATTTAATTTCAGCTATTTAGTGCTTCGTTATAACCAGGTTCGTTAAATTCAGGTTTGACTGTAGCTCACCGATAGGTGCCTGCGATGGTCTTAATTCTTCTTTATTTCACACGTAATAGAATCGTGGGCTCGTGCTTTTAATAATTCGTTAATATGCTCTGTTAATCGGAGTTTCCTTCATCTGACATATTCAGGGCTGGCGTGAGATCTTTTTGAGTTTCATTATTAATTGTTGGTGCTGATTAAGATAACTAGAAGACTCCTTTGACAATTACGTATTAATTACCTTTTTTCTAGCATAAAGATCCATAATTCGAAACAATTACTCTGGAATTTCCTTACATGATCGTAAAAATTCTGAATTCATTTCTTGGAATGTGTATTGCCAAAAATATAAAAACGAGGTATGTATCAGATTTTATATATAGTGTGTCAAAAAAACCGGTAAATTTTAATTTTAGTTATATTCAATGAATATTTATTTAATTCATATAAAATTTTGAATATATATGCTTGATAATCTAGTGAAAAAGTTTAAGTTTACTTAAGATTAATTTGCAAAATAATAATCAAGTTTATTTATAATAATTTATTTAAGTTTTCTTATTATTAAAAATTTTTAATTTTAAAAATATAAATTATAAAAAATTTTAATAAAATAAGTGTTCAAGTAGTCTTAAATAAAGTTGTTTATCATATCTCAAGTATATATATTTAAATTTTTATGTTATTTAAATAAATATTTATGGAGAAAATTAAAGATTCCAGTTTTTTTTTACACACTGTTCACGTATAATCATACACTATAAAAATTATGCACAAGTACATGTATACAAAGGCAACCCCGTTATACCGAAGTAGTCGGTAATATTAAGAAAAATTTTAAAAATTCGGTTTATTCGAGGTTTCGGTTTAACAGAGTAGATTTACTATAACTGATTCTGGAGCCATCTTCGGTTGTAATTAGTGCTTCGGTTAAACGGGGTTCGTTATAACGGGGGTTGCCTTTGTAAGATCATAAGTATACATGTAATATGAAAATTACAAGCCCAACTGAATTACCTAGAATCAAAGATATTTCCAGGACGCATATAACAAGATTGGCCCAGACTACTGAAATAACTAGAATCAAAGATATATGTGTCGACATCTAGAAAATAATAACGTGATTCAGATATATGATGTAGAAATGGGATTCGAGATCCATTTAGGATTTTTTTGGCTAGCACTAATCTTATCCTAACTCTCCCATGCAAACATGCGTATACAAAGTATAAATTATATATACAAATGCGTATTGTCATACGTATTGAATTTTTTTTACCATACATAACTTTATCGCAACACCACAATATTAGAGAGGATAAAAATAAAAAGTTGGGTTTGATTTTGTTTTTATTGCTCATTCCTGCACCAATTATTCAAAAGCAAAAGTTAATGAAAATGTGCACCAAAGAAAAGCTTCATTCGAATGTTGTAAAAATTTATTATAGGAAAAACTTCGGTATACGAATCAAGTTTTAACATAGATTTTTACGAATAGTCCCCTAAGTTTTGCATGTGGTTATTGATGTCGATGTTGAAAATGCCATGCTTTAAAATTTTTAATAATGGCATGATTATGCATCATGATGCTTTTAGTAGATTGATTACTTTGAAATCGTATTTACTTTTGTTTTGCCGCTCCTTTAATCATCAAAATAATCCTCATTAATAAATATATTAGCAAATCGAGCAGGCCATAAAAGAATAGCTTGAATAACAAATGCTAAACAAGTTATTCACTTTACTACTCAATTCTTACTAGTACTGTTCTTGAAAGCAAAATACTATCCTTTGATTTAGGCTTACAAACAAATGACCAATTCAGCCGTGCTATTTTTCTACGGTTACGAATTATCCTCCTATTCTTTGAAAATCCGCAATAAAATATTAATCAATTTCGAGAGAATATTGAGTGAATCGCAGTTCTCTCGAAGCTCGACGCCAGAATCGATTATCCTGCACGAATTTTTAATGTCACGGCAAGATGGCAATGATGATATGCAATTTGATAACGAATCAGCTTTATCGATTCATACGCCAGTTGGTCTTCACTGCCCATTAGTTGAACTATTGGCTTTGACAGATAGTGAGAAAAATAGCGCAGTCCAGGATGAGAAAAATGAACCAACACCTAAACAAGACCCACAGGACTACAATGCGGATTTATATCAAGAAAAAAAAGAACTGATTGCTCGATTTCATTCGGATTTATCAAATCCGAATTTAAGAAAGCGATTGGACGAAATTCAACTTGAAATTCTTAAAAGACGAGAAAATAAAGTTAAAAATTTAGTTCAGGAAAGATTCAATGAAATTCTTGATGAACTGGACAATGAATTAAAAGAAAAGAATAAGCCTATAAATTCCGAGAAGTCAAGCGATTCCGACAAACCTTCAGAAAAAGATATGAATAGCAAAGAAAATAAAAAAATTATTGGTACATCAAGCAATGAAAATCGAAAACGTACTCATGAAAATGACGATGATGATCTAGAAGTTAGAACGCAGCAAAATAAAAAACAACGAATACAAGAATTTTTGTCCGTTAAAAATAAAACTGATTATTTGATAACACCTAGATCATCATTTCATGGGTCAATACCAGAAACTCAGAATCTTGTCCGCGACAACAGAATAACCACGGAGCTTGATAATGAGTCCTCTACGCCACCTGGCTCACCTACCAAGGAAAAATTTTCAGAAGCTTCTGAACCAAATCAATTAAGTTCGACCCAGGATGATCATAATTCAGAAGAAATTAATGTCCCCGTCGTCATAACTGAACAATCTTCGAGTGACCCGATTAAAAAGTATTACAATTCGCCAATGGGATTGTATAGGGACGAATATGGCATGGATATTCGTATCCCTTATCTCTATCATTTTAGATATTTTCATAATGAAATACCATACATTCTTGATCGAACATTTATGACTAGAATTGAATTGCTAGCATCAAAGAGAGATGCTGAAATTCAACATTTTTTCAGGGAATGTGGTGTTAAAGTAGATGGATTAAAAGCGAAATGGATTGTTGCACCATGCGAGTTTTAAATTTGGTTTCGTTTTTGCAATAATAATAATAATAATAGTAATAATAATATTCATCTATACATGTAGGATATATTTATTGGTTTTCCCCGTTAACGAATGTAAAGAAAGTATTTTTTATTTTGTTCTAAAGCAATAATCAAAAATTATACTTACGTAGATAGAAGAAAAACGAAAGAATTTCATTCAAATAATTTAAAAAGATACATAGTACATGCATTAATTTTATTTCGTTAAAGTAATTATCAAAATAAATACCCATAAACTAAATTAATTATCATAAAATATTATATCGATATGCAAAATTAGATGAAATCTAATAAACGCTGGTTTTGCCCATTCTTCTTTGATTATGCAATGCGCCAAGTCTAAGAGCATCCTTATCTTTGATATATATGTGTCCACCAATTCCAACCAGATCACATAAATGTGTTATCAAACTAAAACCAGCATAGCCTATTGCGGTTAAAATTGCCATAATAAATACAAAAAAAGTTATAATTCCAACAATCGGCAAAAATATCACCATTGCGATTCCTGCCGAAATTGTTTCAGTTATTCCAATACAGATCCCAGCAATGCCAACGACAATAGCAGCGCTGATGATACTCCATCCAACTAGAATGCATATTGGAATTGAACTAAATCCTGCAACGATATATATGAAGGTGCGAAATAACCAGCTTTCATTCCAAGTTTTCCTGATCGAAGAGGTGAGAGAGGTAATAGCAACTTTCTTTGCCGGTTTTTCTTTTTTAACCAGGAATTTGTTAGGCTTTGATACCATTGACTCCATTTGTATGGCTTGCGTAGCAGCCTTTTCTTTAATTGGAGGAAAAATAGATTTTTGTGCCGGGGTTGTTTCTGTCGAGGGAAATTCACCGATAGATTCGATTGGTTTTTCAATTGGTCTCGAAATTTCTTTAGATTCACCGAAAGTTTCAATTGGTCTCGAAATTTCTTTAGATTCACTGAAAGTTTCAATTGGTCTCGAAATTTCTTTAGATTCACCGAAAGTTTCAATTGGTCTTGGAATTTCTTCAGATTCACCGAAAGTTTCAATTGGTTTTTCAATTGATTCTGGGGTTGCTTCAGCAAAATGGGAAGAAACAACATTGGCCGGTTTTTCTTGTTCTGGTGTGGTAGGTTGACTTGTATGATCCCCCATCGCAATTGGAGATGAAAATTTTGAGTTTCTTGATGGAATTGAAATTGAGGTTTGAGGAATTGGACTTTCAGCAGGTAAAACTTCTGGATCTTTAGTTGATGCACTAATTTGTTCTTCGATAGGTTGCGTATGAATCACTGGTAAAGGTTGAGAAATAAATTGCGTGTTAGTCGTTGGTTCTTGCTTCATTGCATTATCATTGGCGTGAAGAGGAAGAAAAGATGCTGATGCTTCTGATTCATCGTTTAAAGTACTTTGTTCGCTTTCTTGTCGTATTGTTGACGATGATTGCTCATCAGCTGATTTGGGCTTTTTTCCAGGGATAAAATTTCTAACTGATAGCGCTCTTTTCTTTTCACTCATTTTATGTAGTATGAATTAGTTTATAGGAATACAAATTACTTAGATGTAACTTTTATTATTTGATGAAACAGCAATAACCACTTTTATACCTTTTTTTTTAATAAGCTAGTATATTGTATCAATATATTAGAATCATTATATCTGTAATTTATCGGATGATAGTCGCGATAAATTTTTTAGCTGTTAAAATCTATAGGATTATTATTTCCCACTTTTACCAAAAAAAAAGAAGTTTTCTTCTAAATTTTAATTATAAATGCGCCTTATGACCAAAATACTTGGATCAATTTCATGAATCTCATGCCAGAAAATTTTTTGCATACAATCATTGGTTTGGATTAACTGAATAATATTAAAATCCAATCTAACTTTATTTTTACGCGACAAATTAAATAAAATGCATGACAAAGATTATAGGTTTAGTTTTGATTTAGATTTGCAAAAACTAATTTAAGATTGATTGAAGACACCTAGCACAAATTTATCGAAATACAAACATCCCGTATTTATTAAACAGCAAATGAAAGAATTGAAAACATCGAAACTGAAGGGCTATGAAAATCGAAACAACGAATGCGACACAAACTTACGTTGGAAATGCTTTCTTATTTATTTATCCGTTAAATTTTTTTTCAGGTGTCACTTATGACGTTATTTTTTTCTGTTTCTAAAAAATTTTGTTTTTATGGAGGAATTCTATTCATGATTGGTTCTTTCGTATTGCGAATTTTAATGCCAACTACTAAAAGCGTTGAATCATTAAAAATCAATAATTATGCGAACACAAAGAAAAAAACAGGATTACCGAGGACGGATAAACGATGAATCGGTTTTTCCAGTGTTTGTGCACAATCCAAGTAAAGTAGTGCCCCAAATGTAATTTAATAATAGCAAGTTTTCTTTGTTTCACTATCATAAATAATGATTATTATAAAGTGATACACCCCTCCTTGTTTAGATGATATTACAATGTTATATCAATAAACTAAATTTCCTTAATTGAATTCCTATTGTTAACTACATGTTTAACTGAAATAAGTTGTTGCGTTCTTGTTTCGGATTTGAAAAATCACATTGTTCGTACGTACGCGGGGGAAGTGTGCACAACAGTATCATTTCACTTTATGGAAAACAAATAACATGTAGCATACACTCGTTACTTTTTCTTTCACGATTCAAGCGTGCAGCACAGACTATAAAATTTATATAAATTGAACAAAGAACAACGTTCATTGATTTCCCTTGCCGATTTTTATTAAGTTGGTCTTCTTTGTTTTTGGTCCAATTATCACATATGTTTGCAGCTGATTACAATTACGCGTGGCAAATGTTTTAAATTAAGATTAAGCTCATCGTCTTCAAGTGATACAATTATCATTGTTTTTCAGAAAAAAAAATTTATAAGGAGAGCCAAAATCTTTTTATCGCTTCACCATTTTATTTCTCATCGATACTTTGCAAGTTTGATTTGTAAAATAACAAAAATTTCTATTATTTATTAATATTCATATATTAATCATTCATTCATTCATTCATTCATACATTCATACATACACATATACATATACAACACTCATTTTTCTCCCTTTGCTATTTTGCATTCCATTAATTAACCAAATAATGGAATCGAATCCTCGAATAAAGAATGAACGAGAACAACTCGTCTTCTCCGCATATCCATCAACAAAACAACAACAAACAAAAAAACTACTGCGCAACATAGCGCTAGTCGCACCCTTCATACTAGGTTTTATTTTATATCAATACGCAATCTCTGGTCCATTCTTACCTTTATCATGCCAAATCATCGGATTAGGATGTCCAGCGATACGAATCTCCGGGTATACTGATCCCGAATTTGCAAGCATACGAAAAGTTTTTGAGGAGAATTTCGAGCACGGTGATGAAGTTGGCGCATCAGTAACAATGTTTTACGAGGGGGTTCAAGTGGTTGAGTTACAAGGTGGTGTGATGGATACGCAAACGCAGCGTCCATACGATCAGGATACTCTTCAATTAGTATTCTCGAGTTCAAAAAATTTTGCGTCGGCTGTGATCGCTAGACTTGTAGGGAAAGGACTTTTAAATTATAACGAAAAAATTTCTACTTATTGGCCGGAATTCGCACAAGGCAATAAAGAAAACGTCACATTGGGTGATTTGATGGTGCATGTTGCTGGTGTCAGTTTTATCGATCATCATACAATAAAAGTTGAAGATTTGAAGGATATGGATCATTTGGCGAAAATTCTTCAAGAACAACCTCATAATTGGAATGGCGTGCCAACCAGAGCTTATCATGCGGTCACTCGTGGCTGGTATTTGAATGAAATTGTACGTCGAGTTGATCCACAGCATCGAACAATTGGAAAAATTATTGAACAAGAATTTCAAGAGCAATACGACATTGAATTTCATCTTACTCTTCCCGAAGAGATGGAGTCACGTGTGGCCACCATTTATGAATACCCATTACTAAGAATTTTAGGAAAAATGATTTTCCCATCATGGATGGTTTCAGAACCGCTACATGAAATTTTCAAAGATATGATTAATCCCAAAAGCATACCATACAAATCGTTAGTACATTCAGCACCAAGTCAAGAACAACCCGGCGCTTACAATCGTCGCGAATTTCGCGTAGCCGAAGGTCCAAGCTATAGTGGCATTACCAACAGTCGATCAATGGGAAAATTGGCGGCTCTTCTTGCAAACAAGGGACAACCAATCCGTCCTGACGAGCCTGTACTATTAAGTGAAACTTCTTATGAATTGGCTGTTAAACCCCTTCCACCCGTTTATGATGCCGTTTTGCATGAGTACATGACACCCACCGTTGGAGGTTATGGTTTGTGGCGTCTTGAAGGTCTTGAGGATATTGAACTCTTGGGATGGGGTGGATCTGGTGGAAGTATGCTTTTATGGAATCACGAATATAACATTGCTTTCGCTTATTGTATGAATGCGTTTAACACTGCGTTATTGGGCGACAAACGATCAAAACGATTGTTGAGAGAGTTTGTTGATATTGTTAAAGCAAAGCATGCATTAAAACAACAATCCAATTGATTAACTTCATTCCATTCTTTTAAGAGTAAATAGCATTCATTAGTTTAATTTTTTGCATTTTTTCATTTGTATAAACCATTCATCATTCACACAATGATTTCGTATTTGATATATTTACACGTCGATCATTATCAATCATAATATTTTGTAAAAATTAGCATCAATTCAAATAAATAAAAAAATAGACTTTACAATTTTTGGGCACTCGAGGCGAAAAATTTCTGTATAGCCGGGAATTTTTCAAAGATATATCACTGTTTCCATAATCAGGTAGTTTGATTGACTTATTAATGCTTGCTTATTACTGTATATGGCTGTGAGTTTTCGGTTGGGATTACAATTAAAATCAAAAAAAAAACCTGCCTGGGAACCCCCAAAATAGGGAATTATTAAAATAATTTATTTGCATCATCTGAGAGCACGCACGTAATCGCCTAATAATAAATACGCAGAGTAATGATAAACAGGAATTATTGATCAACCTTAACCTGGATGGAAGTAGATCAAATATCGGACAACAATTCTTCGTCCAACAGGAATGACAGAGAGGGGGAGAGGAAGGAGAGATCGCTCACCACGACAACTACTACCTTCACCACTAATGCTCCGCGAACTTGGTTTCGAAGGAACAGAGTGCTTCGTCTTGAAAATCTTGATCCGAGTGGCACTAGACAAGATATTCAGGTGGCTATTTTATACATGTTATATTTTTTCTCTCTTTTTGTCCCTTACTGGTTCGTGTAGCTAATGAGTTCTCTTTGGTATGTACGATTTTTGCTATTAGGCAAGCTTCGAAAAACGTGGTTTTTTAAGTACGTGGATTGATCACACAAAAGATTCAACCTCTGGTTACGCTCGACTGAATGTTCCTCAGGCAAAAGAGGTAGAAGCTTTAATAATGGCTGAGGGTGGCCTGAGAGTAGGCACTGAAATCGTGAGAATACGAGCGTTAGAAGGTAGGTAACCCAGTCTTTTAATCTTACCCTCGTAATTCTGCGAGTATTTTGACATTACAACACGTACTGACAATTTTTAAATGTTATTCCCTTACAAAGGTGAAGAAGAGGACTCATATTGGGCTCTTGCAGTAGATCGTGATTATTCTAATGCATCTAAACGTCTCCTACGTCAGCATAAATCATTAAAGCCCAAAGTGCGAATACCGGCAAATCTTTTACGAAAACGTTTTGTACTATCCTCATCATCATCGGGAGGTGCTGCTTCGTCCCTCGAAGAGGACAACGGAACACAACAGAAAAAGAAAAATAAAGCGAGTAAAGGATTGCGATACGTTCCGTATAAGGCATTGGATGACGATGAAATAATGCCACCGCAGGATGGTTCGTCATCATCGAAAAAGAAACGAAGAAAGAAAAAGAAAAAGAAGTCGAAGGATAAATCCAAAAGTGACGATAATGTTTCTACTGCTATTCTTACCACCACAGCTATTCATCGTGAACGAAGTGAGTATTTTTCGATTAATTTTACCGAATCTTTACTGTTATATTCATCCGAAGATTTGTTTGGTTCTCTTAGTTAATCATTTAATGACACAAATAGGCGGAAGTGATCTAAATAGCAAAAATGCAATGTCTTTTGATGGTGTTGATTGCACTGTCCAATCATCATCGTCAAATAATCGTCATGATATTACAAACACCTCATTAGAAACCGAATCTGCAGAGGAAATAGTAGCAAAATTTGAAAAATTATATCTTGATGTTTGATATATCGTAGAATCTCATCATTACGGGTAAGGAGGTAATAATAGGTATGTCGCGTGTGTGCTTCTGATTGAAATTCGTTGTCATCCGTGCATCAGGGCCTCCCATTAGAAAAATTTTCAGCTGCTTACATCGACAAATTACTATCTCCTCTATGTATTATAAAAGTTGGCTGACAACTCAGACTTTTGACTTCATGGACACCACACATATATTGTTATCATAACAAGAATTACTCATTTTATCCCTGAGCAAAAAAAAAATGAAGCAAGATTTATTGGAGTCAAAGTAACAATCAATAATATCCACACGAATATTTTTTTCGTATTGAATAGTTATAGAACAAATAATCAATACATTGGAATCCTAAAATTTATTTTCTGCAACTGAATAAATGACGCAAGAATCCTTTTAACGTGACATTTTTTCATCTTCGTCTGCATCCTGAAACTTTTCTTCGTCAATATCAGCTGATTGTGGTAGATGCGCTGCTCCAGTAGGGGTTTCAACGATTGTAATATTTTCCAATACATTCTTTATCAATGGAAGCAAAAAGATAAATTAAAAAGAAAAAGCCAAATGATTCAATCATTATTAATTAATAATAATACCCTGCCATGTTCACTCAATTCTTGCTGCGGTTGCTTACTATTCTGTGATTCAGCGGTAAACCATTGTGGCTCATTATCGTCATGCTGTTGCTCATCATCTTCATTGTCGACCTCTTCGTCGTATTCCTCCTCTTGCATAAATTCTTTATCGGGATGTAACGCTGCGCACTCAGATAACGCTTCAAATATCGCGTCTAAACTACCAGCATCATCAGGGATAAATTTAATTTCTGTTATTTGATTTTCTTCCTCCTCTTCTGCCTGCTGCTGCTGCTGCCTAGTTTCCACTGCTGCTCCTCCAATTCTTAACTGATCAAATCGTATTAGTTCTTCTAATTGTATGTAAATACATGGTCCAGATCCTTCAGGCTCCGGTTGTCGCGATATAGCGTGTAGAATTATGTCGGGATAGTCGATGGCTATACCGGTTTTTGCTTCATTCGAGTAAAAATATAATTTGCTACCCCATGCCATAGCACACAACGAATAAATCAAATCATGAATTATTACCATATTAAATTTTAATCGTAATGAAATTTTTTTTTAATGAATATACCTTTCTGTCACTATTAACGAACCCTTTCCACCACTGCCACCTCCAGGATATGGTGTCACTAAACACCGAACATTATGTTGTGTATATCGAACTATGTCAGGTATATCTGCTTCATTGCCACCAAAACTTGTAGATAATGAAGGGTTCTCGCGTAGCTGGGTTGCTTCTTCGTGTGTAATTACGCTTGGTGGGCTAGAAATGAGTGTTATGGTCATGGTAAATTTCGGTATCGGGTAAGAGTTTACACAACTCCCTCAAGATTTTCCGATCCTGCTAAATAATAATGCAAAGCGTGAAACAATGCCAGATTTTATTAATTAAAAAAAAAGGGATCATTTTATTAAAGAATTTATACAATAAATTAATTTTAACTTAGTATATTATTATTTATGTATGTAAATATATTATTATATATAACAATATGTATGTATAAGGTTGTAATCTATTCCTCTTCAGGATTAAATTTCCTTAGCAATCGTTTCGTCACGCATTTGCTTCAAAAACGGCATCAAATTGGTTCCACCGGTTCCTTTGAGAGAACCATTTGTAGTCTTTGATGTGATTTTAGATTCTATAGTCTGATGATTCAATGGGGTAAGTGTATTATTTGTGGAATTATCATTAGTGTTGGTGGTGGTGTTGGTTTTATGAGTCATTGTGGTCACAGATTGTCTTGTGAAATAAGGATCTATAAAACGTTTAAAGTTATTTTAAAAGTTATAATGTTATCTTTTTTAGGAATATCAAAAATATAAAAAATAAATGACCTTTATGCAATGATGACTCGGTTGTGCCCGCAGCATGAAACTGACCACCTCCTCGATGCGATTGAATTACAATGTATGCACTCACAATTTGTAAATGTTTATTTCTAAAATTTTTCATTTCATTCAAACAATCATTATATGCTTTAACTAAAGAATCATCTTTATCGGCATCTAATCCCCGTATTTCATCATCTAAAGGGAGTTTGGTTCGTGTCAAAATGTATTGACGAATGTTGGCAACTTTCGCAAGATCTTCCAAGAATCTTCGATGTGGTCCCGGTATATTCTGTCGTATTTTATGAAGATATGGTTGTTGAGGTTGTTGAGACTTTTTATTATTGGGAGCATTAGAGTAAGTTTTCTCAAATTCGAGTTGTTGATTTTGGCTTCGGAGATGATAACACTGAGAATTGGTGCTGCTTAATGAATGTATGCTCCTTGCAGCATAGCAATATCCATTTGGTTCTTCACGAAGATGCTCTTTTACCTCAAACGAAGATACTTTATTTGTTATACCCGTTTTGACTCCAGTCGGATAATGCTCGATATTCAAGGCAATATCAATTGCTTGAATTAATGCGCTCTGGCCGGCACTGCCACCTACATATTGACGATAAACTGGATTTCCATTTTCATCAGGTTGATCAACACCCTCATATATCAATCCTTTTGGTAATCGATCCTCATTCTCCCAGCCCGCCAAATAAGGACGGACTTTCCAATAGAATATGTAAGGATCACATTTACTAAACATTCTTTGCAAGGTCTGGTTGATATCCTTCATTGCGGAACATATCGCCGTCAAAGCAGAAATTAGTTTAAAGTTGTCTCGATCCCGTACAGCTTCGAGAGCAGAAATTATGGCAATGAGCGCACGTCCCCCTATAGACTCAATGGCAGTGGTCACAAGATAGAACCACGCCTCATCTTCCGTGTTGGTGAACGTAATTAATGTAGCAAGATTACTTTTTGATGACATTTTAAAAAAGGTAAATGAATGTCAATTGAATTAACTGCACGGTAAATAATTCTTCATAACAACTCATCGTACTTTAAGTCCAATGGCGCATCCGGAAAAATCAATCGCCAATTCCATAGAACAACCGCAGCGTGATTACAAACAGGTGCTATTTCAAGAACTTCGGAAACTTTTACCCACGGTTTTGCGATGCAGGTTGGCAATAACTATGTAAACGATCATCGTCAAATAAACATGCAAGACTATTGAATGTGACATATATATCCACTTACATCTTCCACTGCTTCATATTTTCCCCACACATAGCCATGTGCTAAAATGGAGAGAACTAAAAATGCACGTCTATATTCTGGTATTGATTTGAGGTTATCAGTTTCCAAAATTGGCAACTATATGGTTTTATTGATTTTGGTAATGAATAACAAGAAAAATCCGAAAAAAAACTAGTTAATTCGAGTTTGGTAACGCTAATGTTTTATGCACCGATATCATTATTAAAAAAAAATTTAACTGTATGCTATACATACCTTATTAATGGACTCTCGCAAGCGACCAGCCAAAATCAAGTCATGATAAATATCTATTATTTGCTCCCAAGGAGAGTAATAAGGGTCAGTTAAACGTGTTAAAGGAGGAGTGGACGGTAAAAAACCAGTCTCCGGGTTAATTTCGTAATCTTCTAAGCACAAAATGGGATATGGAAAACCAGATGTTTTATTATGCAAGCTTTCTTCCTTTGAATGATTAGGCGCCATAAAGGTAATAATATAAACTGTTAAGAGGGAAGTTTTTAAAAAGATAGATAAAAAATAGAGATTGGTGACAAGCAACGAGAATTTATAAACAAAAGCTCATAAAAACAGAAAAAAAATCTCGCCTTTTGGATATTGTCCCACGGCCAATTAATCAGATAAAGAAATTTCTATTTTAGGGTTAAAATTTCGGGAAGTGACACATATTAAAAGATTCCGGGACTTTACAAAATTTATTTGATTTGTGATTATTATTTTACCATATACAGTTGGCTCATGGAATAAATGAAACACGAAAAGTTTTACGAAAAAAAATCCTAGTGCCTCTAACATCGATTAAATATACCTGGTTCCTATCGCTATACCCATTTTAAAGCTAATAACCTAGAGAATGACTAAAAAATATATTAATAATTAGTGAAATTTTAACTCCAAATAGTTTTTGAAGCGGGTTGATCTGTTAAAAAATGATGCTTTCTAACGAGAACCAAATTCGGAAGGTCCTTAAAGCAAGGTAAGCCGGCTACGTGATTAGCCATTTTTGATCGATAGCACGTGATAAAAATTATGGCCAGCACTATGATATTTAATAAATCTGGCCAGAATTATCAAAATATAAGCATTACGCTAAATTAATTTACGTAATTAATATTTAAAGTTATTTTATTATTTGTATTATTATTATTTATTGCTTCATCATTTTGCAGTATTTTTGTTATATCATTTTCATTCTTTTTTCTTTATAAAAATCAGATTTTAAATCTTATCAAATTTTATTCAAGAATAAATTCTAAAATACTTTCTAAATATTTAATTATAACTTTCTTAATTTCAACTTGATATTAAATAATATCTATTAACTTATAAGATTGATATATTTTCAAATTATTTTTCTTGAAAGTTTCTTAAAAATCTCTTCATATTTTTAATATTAGTTAAAAATAATATTACAACTTGATCATAATTTTCTGATTAATTATTATAATTGATTATAATTCTCTGATTAACTATTGCAAATCATAATTAATAAGATGATATCTCTAGTATTAGTATATCAATATTATTATAAAGTTATTTATATAAAATATAATAATAAAACAGTATATATCAATTGAAAAATCTGTAATTATACTTTATAATTATAAGATCTGATACTTTTTTTCTTTTATAATTTTTTTAAGATAGTATATTATTATTATTTTAAGTTTATGCATATATAAATAATTTAAAATAATAATAATAATTATATTTATAATAATTATTTACTTTTTAATTTTAAAAGATTAAGATAATTAATTATTTTCTTAATAAATAATTAATACAAATATTAATTTTTAATAAAATTACTTTCATAATAGAGCAAGAAAAAAATAAATAAAGATATGATATAAAAATATATATTTATTATAAGAAAATACTAGTTAACTATTCATAATTAACTATTTTTATCAAACTTAATTATTCTTCTTAATTACTTTTTGACTCTCTATATATAATATTTTCTTGTTATGCTAATTATAAATTATTTTTAATATAATATTTTATTTAGTTTACTTGAAAATAAGCAAAATCTTAAAAGAATTATTATAAAGAATATTTTTAAATTAAATATAAAGTAATTAGAAATTAATATTAGTAAAATATTAAAGAAATTATAATTAAAAAAAGAAAAATCAATAATAATTAATTAAAAAATTATTAATTTAATAAAATTATAAATTTAATATAACATATATAACTAAACTAATAAATAAATAAGATTAAATATAGATAATAAAATAAATTAAAAATAGAATTATAAATAAATTAAATTAATTATTATTAATTTCTTGTATATTATTATAATATAAACTTTTAATAGAATATTAATTACTTATTTATTATTAATTATTTCAAATTACAATATAATTAAATAATTAATTACTTATATTTTATTGAATATTAACTTTAAAAATATTATTTGTAAATATAATAATCATAATAAAATTATTATAGTAAAATTAGTAAAATTATTATAGCAAAATTAATAATGTTATTATAATTATTATAATAAAATTAATATTATAATACTAACTAAAATAATATTTAGATTATAGTAAAAATAGTATAAGTATCATAATAAAAATATTATTTATATAATTTCTAAAATATATAAAAGTAATATATCTTAACTAATAAAGAAAAATAGTTAGTTAAGTTCTGAATAATTAGTTAATTAATTTAGTTTAAGTTCTATAAGTTTAATTCTCAATTTATATTTATAAGTAGATTATAGTTAAAGAGAATTTTAAGAAATATCTCTTATAAAATAGATCTTAATTAAGATCTATTACTTTATCTTATTAATAAATTAGTTATTATATCTATCTTAAAATTATACTTTGAAATTAAATTATATTTTAGCTAATCATATTAAAGAATATTATCATTATCATAACTTCTAGTAGAAAAATATATATTCTTATTAATATACTATTAAAAATATTTTAATATCATATTTTTAGCAAAAATATATATTTTTGATAGTTTAAAAATTATACTTATCCCTAAATCAATACTTATATTAAAAAGATAATAACTTTTTAATATCTTCTTTATAAAAAATAATTCTAAGTGATTATCTAATTTAACTCAAATTAAGCTAAAGAATTCTTTGTAAATTAAATTAAAATTAATAGAAAATAAAAATAGCTAAAGAAATAATTTTGTAATATATCAAAATGAATTTAACTAGATAAATTAAAGTAAAAAGAAAAAGATTCTTTACTTAACTATTTATTAAATTATATCTTAAAGATTATAGTGATTCAGACTATTAAATTATTTAGAAAAAATTCTTTTATTTTTATTAAAAAGTAAATTCAAATCAAGATAAGAAAAGATTTTATAGTTTTAATTAAAAATAAAACTAATCTATTATTAAAATAAGTACAAACTTATTTCTATTAATTACAATAAGAAATATATGAGTTTAAAAATAAAAGAAACAAATATTTAACAGAATAAAAAAAGAAATAAAACTTATTTATAGAAGTATCTAATCTAAGTCAGTTAAAATTAAATAAAGAATTACTTGATTTCTTATAATAATTTAAAAAATATAATCTAGATACTCTTGAATAAATATTAATATAATCATTACTTAATAAATATTTAAAAATATAGCAGATTATTCAAAATATATCTATTACTTCAATACTTATTTTATTAATATTACTTGAAGAAATAAAAAAAATAAGTAAAGATAAGAAGAATGAAATATTATCTTTATCAATTACTGATTATAGATTTAAAGATTTGATAAATAAAATTAGAATATTTACTATAATTCTAGAAAGATCAAAAGAAGCTAACTATATTAAAATTATAGAATTTTATAATAATACTCAAGATCTAATTGATTGGCTTCAAGATTTTAAAAATGCTTATATCACAAATAGTATTAGTAATAAAAGAAAAATTCAAATAATAAAAGCTTATCTGAAAAATTCTGCTGCTATATAATTTATTAATAAAAAATTATATAATCTAAAATAATTAAAAAGTTAAAGATATGCTGATAATATTAATTAATAATATAAAAAAGTTTTATTTATATATTAATTTGAAAAATATTTTAGAAATTATGACTAATTTTATAAATAATAATAATAATTAAAATAAAAAAAATAATTACCTAATAAAAATATAGAATAATATATTATAGTTATTAGAGAACTAATTAGAAGAGTAGATCTAATCAATATCTATCCAAATTATTTATATATATCTTACTTTATAAATGAACTTAAATTAGAAATTAAATTCTTTATAAATTTAACTCATCCTATAATATTAGAAGAAGTAATTAATATAATAATAGCTTATAATTCTAACTTTTAATAATATAATATTATATTAAATAATTTATCTTTCTTACTAATATTATCTATAGATACTAAAATTAATAAATTAACAAAATAAATTACTTCTAAGTTAAAAAAATTAGCAATTGCTAATCAGTCTAATAATTATTCTAATAATAAAAATAATTCTATTAGATATAATAATTGTGAAAGATTTAGTTATATTGTAAGTAAATATAGAAGTAAAAGAAATAATAATTATAATAATAATAACTTTAATAATAATAATAATTTTAATAATAATAATAACTTTAATA